AACCTCTCTGCTAATGATAACCTGTATTTGCAGTCACTCCCTAGTAGTAGCATCACTGTCTCAGCTCCACCTCAGATCATCAGATATTAGATTCTCATAAGGAGCATGCAACCTAGACCCCTTGCACGTGCAGTTTACAGTAGGGTTCACACTCCTGTGAGAACCTAATGCTGCCACTGATCTGACAGGAGGCAGAGGTTATGCAATGATGTGAGTGATTGAGAGTGGCTGTAAATACAGATTAACCTTCACTTGCTTTCTAGCCACTCACTTCCTGTTTTGTGTCCGAGTTCCTAACAGGCCACAGACTGGTTCCGGTCTGCAGCCTGGGGATTGGGAACTTCAGCTCTAAATGATGGAATGCAACAGTCTTGAAAAGCCAAGCAGCTGGCTAGGTTTAAAAAAAGAAAGAAATTAAATGCTATTATGTTAAGCCACTAAGATTTTAGCGATTGTCTTTACAGCAAAAGTTATATTGACTAGACATAACTCCACGAGTTCATGTCTAATGAGTGAGGAGAGCAGTTTACAGGCCAGAGTGAAACGCTGCAAAACAAACCACCAATAGTTAATTCTGTGGGTTGGTCTGACCTGGACTATCCAGGCAGCTGCATTCAGGTGGTGGATTAGCTGGTGGCTGGGCTCAGCTGTGATGGCTAAGTTGACTGTGTGTCTCCATCTACCATCCACGTTGTCTTTTGCCCTTAAAGAGCCTACATCGGAGCTTTCGGAGCATGGTGTTCTCAGGGTTCCAAGAAGGTGAGGAAGCTGCCAGAACTCTTGAGACCTTGCTTGAGAGTAGCACAACATTGTTTCTGCTGTATTTTATTGGCCAAAGGAAATCAGATAACCTAGCTAGATTCAGGGGGCAGGGAAATAGATTCTGCCTTTTTGATAAGAGGTGCTTCAAAGAACCTGTGACTATTTTCTGTCTTCCACAAGCCCTTACAAAAACACTTGAAATATAGTAAATGTTCAATAAATGGTTGTTGAATGCATGCATGAATGGAGAAAGTGGGTTGGAGTCCTGAAAAAGAAGGATAAAATATTGGCGCAGCTGCTATTGGGAATGGAAAAAGGAACCAATCATGGGTAAGTAAAAGAATTGCTGAGCAGCACTGATGGTCCAGCTGAGCTTGAAAATTAGAAATTTGTTTTAGAGCCAATTTTCTCCAACTGCATTTGGTAGTTTGGGAGAAAGCCCACAGAAACAGATGGTTGGGTTGATCCAGGTTAGGGATTAGGACTCTGCCAACTAGCAGTAGTGGGAGGTCGAGGCTGCCCAACTTGGTTCTGTGCCTCCTCGGCTCTCTGCTCACTCAGAAGCTGGCCACTGACACTCCATAGAGTACTCCACATCCTAAATGCCTGCACTCAGTCTGGTCCACTGTCTGATATCAGAACTCCACGTTGGGTTTCAAAGTAATTTAATTGAGGCTGTGACCTATGTGGTTCAAGCCCAAAGTGAAGCACAGGTACACACACACACACACACACACACACACACACACACACACACACAACACACACACAACACACACACTGAAGAATTCCATATACATTCCTTGGAAGGTATAAAGGGTCCTGATTTTTGAATTTTTTTCTTTCCTTTGCAATTCTCCTATATACTGATGTAGCCTTCTATCTCCCACCCCATGACTACAACTGTCACTCTACCCCTCAAGGGATCTGTCCCATTCATATGCCTCCTACTAATTCCGCCCCCCATCCCCCATTCTTTCTCCTGGCTCATTAGACCTTTCCTTCCATTCTGTATCACGAAAGTCTAGGACTGATCTGGCAAAAATTGTCTCCAAAAGCAGGGATGAGAGTGGAAACAGAGAATGTGAGAGGAGGTTGAGCTGACAATGAGAGGGTCCTTTTAGGCAACTAAAGGACTACCAAAGACCGTGACTGCTTCTATCTCAATGTTGTTCTAGGATTTTACTTGTTAGATTAATTTTGCTCTCCTTCCCTGTACTTGATATTTCGGGCCCATCTTTACTTTCTTGGTCATCTTGGCCCAGGGTGGGTTACCAATGTTACCCTTGTTACCCTTTGTTACTTGACTCACAGCCAATTTCTGTTTTGCACTGTGTTCCTACCCTCGGTGAAACCCTTTTCTCCATCCAATCACCCCCTTTCCTAATAAGTACCTCATGCAGGGGAAAACAGCCAGGAGAGGGCAAATAAACTGAAGAATCAAGACTCTAGTGCTTGGATACAAGATACCGAAGCAAAAGAGGTCAAGGAATTGGGGGCTTTGGTGATTTTTCCATGTGGGTAGTGGAGTTGCCTAAGATGATAGATAGAGACTACAGGAAGAGAAAAACTGTAAACCAATTAACAGTGTCCTCAAAGAATGCAGGGGGATGCAGTGAGTAAGAGCAATCTTAAAGGATGGAGGGTTTCAAAGAAGCAACAGAATGGCAGATCAGGGCATGGAAACAGCTGTGGGGACATAGGAGAAGCACGCCATTCCTCCTTGACATGAGAGGCTGGGTGCATACAAGGGAGCAGATCATTCCCCTATGACTTTAGAGGGAAGTCATAGAATCTACAAAAAGTTAAGCTGAAGCAGGGGTTATCATCTCAGTTTATACTTTCAGGCTGTGGATTTCAGGATAACAGGAAGAGGACATATTATCCTTAGTTCTAAGGAAGTTACTTGTCAGCCATTCTGAGACTCCAAAATGAATCTTTTAGGATATTTCCTTGATTCTTTCTTTTATCAAATAGTTATTATTATTGACCAGCAACAGAACTGCGTACTGGTATATAAGGATGAATAAAATAAGGATCCTGCCGTTAAGCAGCTCATAGTCTTTTCAAGGCAAAGGTAAATAGGTAATGAAAAATAAATTGTAAGTCATATAACAGAGGTGAGCATGGGTTTTATGGAGCACAAGGGAAGGTTATCAAACTGAAGTTGGGGGTGTGAGGTGGGTCAGAGAAGACCTCAACAGAAGAAGAGGTCTCAGCTGTGTCTTTAAATATGAGCTCATGAGGTCAAAGTATGTGTGCGTGTGTGTGTGTGTGTGTGTGTGTGTGTGTGTGTGTGTGTGTGTGTGTTAGGGAGGGGAAAGAGTTTGAGGTCTGGAAGCAAGAGGGAGCGTATTAGTCAAACTGACTATATTTCAACTGCATTTTATCCTGGGTAGTCACAGCCCAAAAGTTGAATCAAGTTTAACTGAATCTCCAATGTGACAAGACTTTCCATTCTTTCCTCTTGTAGGGGAAGTGGAGCTAAGCCCAAGCTCACAAATTTTGGCAAATGATCTTGTGTAAACTGTTCTGCTCCCTGAGCTAACCCTCTCTGAGGCAGGGAGGACTCTTGTGCTATTGATTTGATCACAGGACAGCTTGAAGGAAAACAGTATCAACAAGCTTTTCTTTGGGCTGTTGGAAATAGTGTTTTCCTTTTATTTATTTGAAAGGATCTTGTATCTCAAATCTCAGGACAGGCCTCTTGAGAGTTTTCTGATTATTGTGCAAGATGTATTAAAAGTCTCATAAGAAATGATTGGTTCACCTTTTTATTTTAGTGCTAACCACACATGGTTAGCAAATAACAGCACCATTGTATAGTAGACATTTTGGTGGGAAAATGCAGTGCACGAGAGGAGACTTGGCTGGTCATGGTGTTCTGGGCAACTTCGATTGTCAAGAAGATAATTTATGTGACTACCACTTACATTACTGAAACTGCAAGACTATTCTCCCCCTATTCAAACTTCCAGAATGCATTGTGTTACTTGCTCTGCTTGTGCTTGGTTATTTATGGCTCCTGAAAATAGAGAACAGGAGATAGCAAACCTTTTATCTGATGTTCACTATAATTTGGGCAATTGCAGAGTAGTTTCAGTTCTTGGTCTACAGCATTTGATGGGACACTAGAGTTGAATTTGTGACATCATAACTATCTAGAAAGAATGCTAGAGGAAAAATGGATAGGAATTTAACAAGGAATCAGCTTTTTAGCTGTTAGTATTTTCCTTTTTAAAGATTAAGACAGAATATTCAGCTTTGGAAAGAAAGTATTTTACCTTCACAGGCTTGGTGAAGTTGGAGGAAAAAATTCTTGCTGAAATTGACAGAGAAGCAAGGAGTCTTAAGGAAAAGACTGGAACCTTTCATGTTAGGTAGATCTGAGTCAAGGCAGTTCTGCCCACTAGCAACTGTTATACTAATCATTTCCTTTGAGACTTTAAAAATGACTATCGATATTAACTGTTCTCTTTAGGTACCTATAAAAGAGTCCTAGCTTCATGGAAGGACTATGATTTTTTTAGTTAAAAAAAGAAGAAGCTGTAATATGGGCAATATGATAATATTATAGGCTTCACTAAAATCTGTAGTATTTATTCCATCAGCCAATTAATTTTTAGTGAGCACCTACTGTGTGCTTTCTTATTAAAGGCAAAGGATACAGCAATGAATGAGAAAGATAAAGTATCTCTTTTCATGAAAATCTGAGTCTATCAGGGAGAGAGTACTCCAATAATGGATTAATTATGATTATACGTATTTGCTGTAAAGGGTAAGTACAGGATTCTAGAGCCTGTGCAATAAGTTTTTTAAAAAGTAGAGGATGGGGTGGGATAAAAAGCAGTGAGCACCCAAGTAAAGATGTCTGCATGCACAAAGGGCTTGGAATAGAGGGCAATTTAGAAAGTTCTTCCTTTAGAAGGAAGAGTAGAATGAAACGAAGTCTTGTGTGGCTGGAGAAAGGAAAGCAGGGGAGAATTGTGAAAGGTGAGTTTGGAGAAACAGAGGGGCTAAATCATGGTATGGGCATCATAAGCCTGACAAAAAGGAGAGGGGAGTAGTTGAAAGGCTTCAAGTGGAGGAGCAAGATGATAAATAGTACAACTTAATGAAATTTTATTAAAGTGTTCTATTGTTGATTATGGAAGTAATTTGCCTTCAGGTTTTTTTTTAACCAAAGACATACTTTCATACTTTTTTCAATTTAGTTTTTATTCTAATTTATTTTGCAGATAAGGAGGATAATTTGCATGCAATCGAAGGACCACATGCTTCTTTGCTTAAAGTGACTGTGATGGGTAAGAATCTATAAATAGCAAATCTGTTGCATTTAGTTATCTACTATGTTGGAATTTAGAAGTGGTAGATCTCTTATCAGTGACCAAATACCAAATACCAGAAATATTAATATAACCTGATAAATTTTTAATTAAAAATACTGACATATAACTATGATGTAATTGAAGTGAATATTAAAATGTGTTTGCAACTACCTACAAAACCCAGAAATGTATATAACATATTTTTCAGTTTCAAAGGAGAAGTGAAATTTCTAAAGGCTAAAAGTCTTACCTGAACACCAGGTTTAGTCTGATACAGACGGGGACTCAATGCCATTGAATAGGGAAGTCCTGCAGAAAGACACTTCATGCTAAATTAAACACAGGCCATCCAAACTCTAATATATATGAAGGGCTCTCCAGGATTTGTTATCCTAGTGGCAATGACCCCAAAGTCCAGATTTTCTAGGACAGTCTTGTTATAGTAATCATTTTATATCTTGTTATATAAATATTCTTGTTATAAAATATAGTTATAAAATGTTATTATTATAAAATATTGTTATAAAATATTCTCTTACAATTTAGTATACTGATGCTCTTTAGACAACCACATGACTTCTTGCATCAGGATTCTCCTTTCTCCTCTGCTGTCACCACCCAGAATTTTCTCTTCCTCCATCTCCCCCTCTCTTCTTCCTCCCCATCCTCTTCTTTCTCCTCTCTTCCCCCTCCTCCTCCTCTTTCTCCTATCTCATCCTGACAACTTGAACTCAAATCCCCAGGATGTCAGCCCATGAATTAAATGTCCAATACAACTTACCTTTGTTTTTTGTTTTGCTTTCTATCTTTAAAGATGACTCTTTCCTTAGTTTCAGACCTTCTAAGCCCACCTATAAGAAGTTCATGAATGGCTATGAATGTGTCTAAGGGATAAAAAACACCAAAAAGATGAAGACCAGCTCATAAATTGAAGGAATTTCATTCCTGATTGTGTCAATATTACTGCCAGTAAAAATATCTTAGAAAATGTCAATCATGCGATGAGCCTAATTTGGGGTTACAAAATAAGAGGGGGGCTATTAATCTATGTTTCATTTTGGGATATTCCAGGGAAGAAATGTCACTCACAAAGAGCAATAAGCTGGACAATCCCTAATGCAGCTGGAGGAAAATGATGCTCATGATCAAATAGCTGTCATTTCAGAAAACTATTATGAATATGTAGCATCACTATGCTAAGTGTTTTATTGACATTTTCTCATTTGATCTTCTCAAGAACTGTGTAAGGCTGTGTTCATATTTGTTCTGACATTACAGATGAGGAAATTGAGGCTTACAGAGGTTAAAGAAACTTTTCTGAAGTCATTTCACTAGTAAATGAAAGAGCCAGAATTCCATGTCTGTCTAGCCTGACTCCAAAGTGTAGATGATGAACCACTAACTATCAGTGGGGTTTAACAGTCGAACTGATCTGTGGCCAAGAGATGTCTGTGGAGGTTGCAGGAAGGTCCTTACTCCTTGAAGCATCTTATCCATTCTGCTCCACCCTATTGTATCACTCTTTGTCCTTTTTTTTTTTTTTTTTTTTTTTTTTTTTTTTTTTACTGAAGCCAAGTTTGCTGTGGCCTGGAAAAGCACAATGGTTTACAATAGCTTCTTTGTCAAGGACTATGGTTTTGAGGTATAGTGAGAAGAATGTGAAGATATAACAAGGAGCATCCTATTGAAGCACAAGTCCAAGCAATGCTGCTGCAGAAAGCTGGCAAAGCAAAATGGTTCTTGGCCCTGGCAGGAAACAGCATAGACACACATCTGCAAGCTGGTTTTCAACAAAGCTCTTGGGCAGACCATAAGATAAAAAAAGTTCTGTGCCAGAACTGAGCTCTCCCAAAGGTGGCCATCAACCCTCCTTTTAGTAGAGTGTGCAAAGGACTCATGCTCACCAGGTGTAGTCAACATGAACAGCACTAATCTTAAATGTTTATTTCTGTAAGGACCACAAAATTTACGATGGTTTTTGTGTCAGGCTATCTTGTTAAATCATGTCCATGAAGTGCCTTTCTGTGCTTGACTAGTCAGAATTTCTATAATCAAGAATTCTCTCCACTGACCACTCATGGCGAAAGGTAATTTCTGAAGACCAAGAGCTCCTGGTTTCAAATTAAGAGTGTATCTGTGTGGGCATGCAGTAGAATAAGAGACAACTAAAATGTTCATTTCTTTCCCTTTTTAACAGCTTATGGAGTCCACCTGTCATGCCATAAGCAGCAAATTCCAAGGTCTTGAGAGAGCTTCTTGCTGAACTTTTTGTTCACTCAGCCTCCACTCTACCCCCTACTACCAGAAAATTTAAACAAAACAACCTGCTTTTGCCTGAATGACCTAGGTAACAACCTACTTTAGCTTGAGCTGCTTAGATATTTCAGCTAAAAATGGCTTATTTCCATGAGTCACCTGGATAATTGCCTTACTCCGCTGGCCCACTTAGCGGGGTGGGCCAGCAGGTGTTAAGTGCAAGTGTCAGTGAGGACTTCATTGTTTTCCACTCTACAGAGAGCACTGTGACAGTTTCTTAATGGCTGGGGAAGTACACCTTAGATTCACTTTCAGCCCTTGAACCTCCTTTTAGATGGATCATGTTTGTTGTATGACAAAAAAGCCCCCTTTTTTATCTTTATAGGGTAATTTTCTAATGGTGTGTGTGTGCAGCTTTGTGACTTTGAAGAAGCAATACTTCAGCAAGTAGTTCTTAAACATTTACAGAACACTGGGAGGATAGAAAAGGAAATAAGGACATTTCTTCCTCTAGATATGGCTGCTTAGGGAGATTGGCACAAGTGAACGATTAGAAAGTTCCTTCATGTTTCCCGTTGACCTGTTCAGAAGCGCAATCAGGACAAATCAGAATTGGAGAAATCTGCAGGAGGGCTTACCCGTGATTACTTGAGGTATAAGTGCATTGTCTTTTTTTTTTTTTTTTCTTTTGCAAGTGTAAAATATGAAGTTTATTTTTACAAAATGCAGCCTATTATCCCAGGATGGGACCATTGAAGAGAGTCTGTTTTATTTAGAGGGTAACTCAGGGTTCACAGCTCTCTCAAGGAAAGACAGCAGATACTTTGGGCTATAAAAACACTTGAGGTATTTACAAAAAACATCCACCATATACTTTACTTTTATGACTGAGTTTTTTAGATTCTTTAAAGAACACAAAATAATTACAAAACACATAGGGGGGGAAAAACCCTGCTTCATGTGGAATGGTCAACATTGAAAAACTAAACTTGGCATGATTTTTTCTTGAAAATCTATTTATACATAACAAAGATATTTAGTGTCCTAGCTTCAGTTTTAAGTTACAATTGTTATAATTTGATGTCATGAAATAACAAAGCAATTTTTTTTTTTTTTTTTTTTTTTTTTTTTTTTTTATCTTTCCCTTTCCCTCAACTATAAAAATGACACGATTTTAACATTAAGTGGCAGGACAAAGTTTTTTTTTGACAGAGATATGAACTTTGATGTAAGAGCTCACCATTTCTATGCTTACAGAGTTAAAATTCTCTGGTATGAAACTTTTAGGCTTGAGATAAATGTCATGAACATGATTTTGAAGGTCAGGCTGGTGAACCACCAAAAATGTCTGACAGCTCCAAAAAGGAATATTTACATCTGGCTCATGGCATCTTGCTCTCTGCGATGATGTAGTCAGGTTGAATAAGTGGAGCAGTGTGAACAGAACCTCGATGGAACTTGGCATTTGACCCCAGAGGCCTATATGCATCTTTTTATCTTCTATCCTCTCCTGCCTCCCACCATGTGGGCAGAGCAACCATAAAAATCCACCGGCTTTCTGCAGGAACACTTGGCCTGGTTTCCCTGTAAAACCTGTTTGTACATGAATCAACCCAAAATTAACTTCAGGGACAGCAGGATATGCCTGACCTTGTGAATTCAAGTATGAAATGCACTAGAAATATGATTAACTAGATTTCTTGGTAAATGGGTTGTTCTGGTTAGTTGGATTTCTGATTATTTAAGGGTGAGTTCCATGACTATTTTTTATTTCATTTTGTTTGTTTGTTTGTTTGTTTAATAGACATTCTAAAATGTGTTAGTCAGCTTTCTTATCATTGTAAGTATGGTTGTTAAGTGTCACTTAATCATTCTTGATGATTCTGATATTACAAGATCCTCAGATCATCATTCCAGACCCCAGTAATCTAAAGATAATGGCATCCACATAGAAGGAAGACAGCTGAGGACTAGGGGTGAGGAGAATAGGATGAGGGCATAGGAAACAGTTTAGTTTTGGTTAACTGCAATCATACTGCAGGGGAAATACCTGATAATTGATCTCAAAGCTTTCAATAATGTACTGTTTTCATTTAATAGAAAACCCTGAAGAATTTGTCATATTTTTGCATAAGATCACCTCTTTAAAAAAAAACACAATAAAATTCTTCTTTCTGCTTCTAAGCTCATTTTGATAAAGGGAAAACACATGCAAACTAGGTGAAAAGAGTCTGAAAAGTGATTATGAAATGATCTCAGTGTTATATCTAGACCCTTTAGAGCACTTTCCTAAAAGTAGAATATGCTACCACTTTTTTTTTTTTTTTTTTTTGAGACAGAGTTTCGCTTTGTTGTCCAGGCTAGAGTGAGTGCCGTGGCGTCAGCCTAGCTCACAGCAACCTCAAACTCCTGGGCTCAAGCGATCCTCCTGCCTCAGCCTCCCGAGTAGCTGGGACTACAGGCATGTGCCACCATGCCCGGCTAATTTTTTTTTTATATATATATCAGTTGGCCAATTAATTTCTTTCTATTTATAGTAGAGACGGGGTCTCACTCTTGCTCAGGCTGGTTTTGAACTCCTGACCTTGAGCAATCCGCCCGCCTCGGCCTCCCAAGAGCTAGGATTACAGGCGTGAGCCACAGCGCCCGGCCGCTACCACTTTTTAAAACTGCATTTGGCTGGGTGCAGGCAGAAAAGATTAAGGAATTTGCAGTCCGAG